AAACACTACTAAATATGAGTAGGAAGTAGTAATGTAGGATACTTCACAGAACACAAACTATAAAAAATGTTTTAATGGACGCGATAATAGACAGATAAGATTAACTTAAAACTATGATAGATACATTGATATTTTTTATTTATTTATTAAGTCATTCTATGATTATTCTATATTGTAGAATTGTCAAAATAAAAATGAAATTACCATAAAAGTGTTTGTTATTTAGAGTTTCCGATGTTTAGGGGTGGAGGTGTCCGATATTAAGAGGTGTCCGTTAAGGGAGGTAACTGTGTATATGTTATGTAATATTTATATGTACGTAAATATTATTATAAAATATAATAACAAAAATATTTGGTATGTTTAAGGTAAATGCATCATATTTGGACAGACATTCATAACAAATATCATCCAATCAATTCTATAATTTGTATAAATTCAATATTGTTAACATGTATGTTAGGATTTTTGAATTCAGATTTTATCATCTTACCCTATTTAAATCAATCAAATAAATTTATTAAACAAATATGAATTCAATTTGAAGTTTGAACCCAATCATGCTACCCCATCGTATTTCAAAATATATAAATTATGCATGAACGCACTTTCTAATTCAGTATAACGTTATTTAAATATTGTTTTTATTAGAGAACCAATTGGATATCAAATTTGCCTTCCCCACCGAAAAATGTGTACCCAAGTCAAGGAACTAAGACTCAAGATACATCTAAGCAAATGCATCCATCTCTCAGTGGGGCAAATCAAACCGCCAATCATCGAGGAGTCGACGATTGGAAAGAAAAGAAAAATAAATATGCACCTCCCAGATCAACACCGGTTGATTCATCGTCTTCTAGACCTTCAACCGTGAGTATAAAATAAAATAACTTACATAAACGAATAATCAAAAATTACTTTTTTAGTTGAACTTTAATTTATATTATTAAATTAAATTTATTATCAATCATATAATGTTAAAGTTACAAAACTAATATAAAAACTTGGTGTGTTATAATTAAAATATTTTAATTTAAAAAATAATTTTGAGAAAATCAATTAGTCTTAGTGTAAGCGATTTTTCAGATTTCTAATATTCTCAAAAGTTAATTACCATTTCCGTAGAAACTTAGAAACAAATTACAATATAMATTAATCGGAATACTGTGAATTTTAAATACATAATATTTATATATATTTATGAATTATAACATAAAATTATGACTTACTAATAATTTGAGATTAAAGTATTAAATCTTGTATAGCCAAGAAAATTTTCATCACAAAAATATAAAAATTAATACTATGTTCACGTTTTTATCAGCTTTTGAATACAATTTTTTTTTTTTAATTTTTATCGATATACTATGATATGTTAGTACTGTGATGTCTATTTTTATACAAAAAAAAAAACATAATACACTTTGTATTTTGTATATTTCCATAAATACTAAATGTAAATTTAAAAAAACACGTGCACATTTTATTTTTGGAAATTCGTAGACTTAAATTATTAAACTATTTTTTTTATTTGTATGTTCTAGCAACAAGCTCATTATAGAAATCGGACCGTTCCTATATCGAATTTTGATCATGAAAATGCATTAATAAATACTAACGATGGTGGAAACTATAATAATATGATCTCGTATGCTCCTTACATGAATACAAATCATGTGTACGCACCTCCTTCTAACTCATCAGTGATAGTCAGAAATGAGTCTTCGTACAAAAACTCATCGATGCCTGTGCCAGAAGCTTATTCGTATAATGGTACTCCTACTATTCTCACAGTTCCCGCTGTAAAATTAGGTTATAATAAGGAATCAAAACAAGCCAAACCAATGCATTACTCTAGGACATCATCATCTTCGGTCAATACTAGTCAATCAAAAGGTCACACTTCTTCTCCGGAACCACATCATCCTGGGCCTCTGTTAAATACGCATGGTCGTTATGCCTTATATCCACCTCTAACTGATAACTCTCAAAGGGATTTAGATATGCCCCCGCCCGCACATTTGAATGCAATTATATCTAGTGCCCTTCCGAAATTTGTTCCTGTTGCGGTGCCAGTCGATGATCTCCAAACAGAAGCATTAGATCTAGTTATGATATGTAATAAAGCTACACCTGAAACTGATGTTCCTTTATATTTAAATTCTAACTATAAACATACCAAACCAGATCCTCAAGATACCAGGAACACACATGACGTAAATGTTTATGTTAAATCAAAAAAACATAATTATTTAGAAATGTTGCCCAATAACGAAAATATGAGCTCCCCACTGATCACATTAAGCAATTCGACTACCACTTCGGCGATCATAACGACGGCACTCTCGTCGTCCAATTCGATAATGGTGCCGTCTACTAGTTTAGCAAGTAATTCATCAAGCAAAATAATAACTAATTTGATGGCTGTCCCAACTTCTATTCCAGCTACTATCTCATTGATTGATCCAAATACTATCCCAACTTCTATTTCATCTACTATTTTGACGAATAATTTGACAATTATTCCAACTTCCATTTCAAAAACGCCGTTTGCAACATCAACGGAGATTCCAATAGTTACTCCTGCATCAATCCCAGAAATAATTTCGACAACCGCATCATCAACTAATGTTACAACAGAAGGTTTGGTAACAACCTCTTCAAATGTTCCAGTGACCAACTCGACTTCTTATGATTCTTCTCCATCTACACCTCCCCCGGTGCTAATGCCTGCGACTTATACAGAAATGTCTAGTGGAATAAAAACTCACCATCACAAGTTAAAGAAAGCATGGTTACAACGTCATGTATGGGCTGAGGACTTGAAAGAAGCAGGCGTTAATATCGACCAAAATGCATCACATTCTTTCTCCCAAATGGATGATACTCCTCCAGTTTTACAGTGTGAAATTACCAAAAAAAGAAAAAGTTCCAAAAGTTCATTAGACGATAATATTGAGGAAACATCACCTCAAGAAATGTTGCCATGTAGTTCGCACTCAGAGCCATCGACATCATCAGGTAGTGGGACCAAAAAGTATAAAAAAAGAAAGGTTTCTAATCCCACGATACCTCCGGAAAATAAAAGCACAACAGATAATTCTAAGGCTTTAGAAATAGAAAAGAAAGTTCTGCCCATTAAGATTCCTAAAAAAAGAGGAAGAAAACCCAAAGTTGTTGTAAGTATACCTTTGAAAAAAGGAAAAAATAATGATGGTGAAGTGCGGTTTTTTCAATCGGGCCCATGTTTAAATGCTGGGCCAAAGATACATAAATGTCGGGAATGTCGTATATTCTTAAACAATAAGAAAAATGATAAAATGACTCAAGATGAAATTGATAACATATTTTGTCGGTTCTACGCGTTTCGTCGGTTGTTCACAAACAAATCTGGACAACTAATGAATGCAGGATTTCCTGATCCTTTCTTGGATATTACTGAAGTAAGTTTTTGCCTATTGTTTTTAAAATTCAAAAAATTTATCTTTTATTAAATATTTATTTTAGGAGGATGCAAATCTTTGGTTACCTAACCCGAAATGTCCACCAAGTTCATTAAATGTTGAAGTTGCAAAAAAAGTATTAATTGAGGCTGGTCGTCAATTTTGCTATTTAGTGAAAGAAGAAAATAAAGCTCTTACACTGTCACCATATTTCCAAGGTAATTAATTTACGTGATTAAAGTGAATTTAAATATTAATTTTATTTGTATTGCAGGCAAACCTATTGCATGGAAAAAAGCAGCTAACGGCGTGAGGGAAATGTGTGATGTTTGTCTTACAACTATTTTTAACTACCACTGGGCTTGCGCAAAATGTGGTTTTGGAGTTTGCATCGATTGTGTAAAGGTGTATATTTATGTAAATTTTAAATAATCGTTAAACTTAAATGTATCAGTTTTTTATAGTTATTTTATAATTTTCTTTTTAAAAATGTTTACAAAGCACACAATTAAAAAATAATTAAATTACCATACCAATGCATTTATTTAAAATGTATAAAATATTTTTTTAAGAAATTATCCAATATTATTTTAATGTTTCTTAATATGTGTCTCAAATAAATCATACTAAACTATCCTGTGCATTTCGTTGCCTGTCAGAAATACCAACCTTTATTCACAATTTGTGTTCAATTCGTAATTTAATACCCAGTGTAGTGATGTTCAAAACTTTCTGTGACAAATTTCCATAAATTTACTCCATTTTAATTTCCATTAAGTAAAAAATTTTAACACAACGTCTTTTGTCGAAAATTGCTCAAATATCACTGCTGCGCGACGGACCAATTATGTTATTTAAATACAAATCAAATGCACACTTACGTAAAAAAAAAGTAAGAATGAAATCACGAATCAATTTTAAATTAATTTTCTGGACAGCACTGATGTATATTAAAATTAGATTTTTCTGCTCAGAGGCCACCATTCTTAAAACCCATTATTTCCCCTTTAGATGTTAAATAAAATATTATATTTGCACATTTATTTTCGATTTTAAATATTTTCTACAAATAATGTTTCAGCTATAAAACTAACACAAATATATTATGATTGTTGTGCAGGCACGTCTAAACGGCTGGTCAGAGTTGCCAAACGCCGCGACCATGACTAAAAAGGACCTGCGAGAGAAGGACAAATTCACGTGGATGACTTGTAACAGCAAACATAATCACGACGTTGAGCGGCTCATGCTTACACAAATCGTAGCCAGTGACTCGATGGACGTTGTATTCTCTGATTTACACAAAATCAGTACTTTATGGAACCTTCCAATTGAATGTGGTTGTCCAGGACATCCTTTCCCTGAAGTACAGGTAAATATTTATTTCGATTTAAAATTTTGAATAACGGTGATTTTTTTGGTAATAAGTGTTTTTATTCAAATTTGAAACTATGTCTTTATTTAAACAAAATATTTTTCTTTTACCATCAAAATTTTATTTTGTAGTCTTCTTACCAAATTTAATAAATCTTAAAAAATCTTAAATATTTCAATATTTTATAAAGAACCCAAATATGTTAAATAGTGTTTCAAACATTAAGTAAACCAAAGCTCATGATCATATTAATTTAACTCGATTATTTATTTTATTATAAATAGATTCAACTTTTTATTTTATTTTTCCTGCCTGCTGTAAATATTTCATTTTTTTTTTCAATTAACTTAAATAAATGGGTTTAAATTTTCAAAACCGGGCTCAAAACTTTGAATGTATATTATATATAATTTAGCTCAAACATAAAGGTACATACTATCACTATAATATGTTATTTCTATATTTGAAGGGCGATGCCAGTACTGATGATGACGATGACGATGTACCTTTAATATCACGAGCAAGCACTTCAAATACTGATAACTTTCAAAACAGTTCTGCTGAAAATTCTGAAATTAGTTCTACTGAGAACTCAAAAAATGAATCTGCTGAAGATTCAAATAACATTCCAGTCGAGGAATCGAAAAACAACGCTGCTGAAAACTTGGAGAACATTACTGCTGAAAACTCTGAGAAAAATTCTGCCAAGAGCTCTTCGGACAGCCTTGCAGAAGGATCTAAGAGTATGAKTCTTTCCCAAAATGCTATTAACATCGAACCACAGATTGCCGGGGTAAAATAAACACATGAATATTAAATCTTCGTTAAATCATTAATTATTTGTCTTATTTTCGTTTGTATTCACAGTGCTCAAATGACAGACGAGCGAGTGTTCAATCTAATCCGAGGAGGAGAGAGCATATATTAAAACACTTTGTCCGTAAGAAAAATAAATATCTGAGAACCATTCCACGCGAACCGCTTCCGCCACGTGTAATGACACTAGCAGAAAGCCGAGAATTTTTCCCGAATAATCCCCATACGTGGCTATGTGATGGAAAACTATTGAGGCTTTTGGATCCCGAAGATCCTACCAACTACGAAATTTTTCAAGTAAATTCCTATCTAGTTACTTTTATATACAATATACCTATAAAATAACTACTTGTGTTCTGGTATACACCTATTAAGTTATGTAATTAGGATGTTTGCATCGAATACTACACTAATATTGATGATCGTATTGAGTCGTCGCCGGATTTTTAATAATTATGTGCTATGTATTATGTAAAATAATAAACATTGAATAAACTACTGTTTTGGCTATCTACACGTATTTAACTGTAATCGGTTGGTGTATTTGCAGGAACAATGGAAAAGAGGTCAGCCAGTGATGGTCAGTGACGTGGGTCAAAGGTTAAATCCGGAACTGTGGAGTCCTAATTCGTTTATTCGCGACTTCGGTGAATTTACCAACGATTTGATTGACTGTGCGACTGGTTTCCTAGTCGAGGGTAAGACAATGAAACAGTTTTGGGATGGTTTTGAGGACGAAAGCAAGCGACTTAAGGGTTTGGATGGTAAACAAATGTTGTTGAAACTAAAAGACTGGCCAGTTGGCACTGATTTTGCGGATACCTTACCGGAAAGGTAACTATTTTCTTAGCTAACGTTCAATGTATCTCCGGTTGTTTTTATTTCATGAATAGTAAAACGAATTTAATGTATTTAGCGTTTTCCGATACAGATTTGATGATTTAATGAGAGTATTGCCATTAAAAGAATATACTCTGCGTGACGGAAGTCTTAATCTGGCAGCTAGATTACCGGCATGTTTTGTGCGACCAGATCTTGGACCAAAAATGTACTCAGCTTACGGGAACATTGGAAATCGTGATTCCGGCAAACAATTTATGAGTACAACTAATCTACATTTAGACGTATCGGATGCAGTTAATGTAATGGTGTATGTGGCTATTTCGCACAAAAGTGAGAATCAAAACGACGAAGCTGATCATGAATGGCACGTAAAGGGTAAGTTATGTTATCAATAATATTTAAGTGCAAATTTAAATTTATATTTTCCATTTGATATATAATTTATTTTTGTCTTGCTGCAATAAATAATTGTTTAAATAAAATCTTTCATAATTGTGTTAAACCATTTTTATCAAATTTTTGACATTTTAGCTGGGGATCTATCTGAAATTCATAAGGCGCTTATTTATCACGCTTGATAGTCTTATCAGTTGTTCTAGTGACAGTTCATATTTTATAGTAACGATCATGATGAATATGTGAATAGTATAAGCTATAATATAATTATTTTCTTAGAAATTAAAAGTTATGTCCGTGATACAATTTCTTTTCCAAAGTGGAAAAGTTTCTTTGTCTATATTCCATTCATATTATTATAATTTGATTGTTATATTTCAGAAATTACATAATTTAAAGTGTTAAAAATATGTTTTCGTGACTTGAATACATTTTATATACTTGAGTTAATTTCCGTGTTTCATATATTTTATTTAAGTTGATTTTTCTTTTTACGTTTAAGTACTAACATAATTTTTTCTATAGACATTTTTTTTTATAAAATTATTTTAATTATAATAAATTTTAATCTATAGTCTATGGGTCGTGTGTATGATTAGTTTACGAATGTATTTTAAGTTTGATCTTACAGTACATCAATGAGTTCAGTCAATTCATAAGTCTATGTTATGGATGTTTCAGAAGCGTATCGGGCGATTGACGAGGCTGGCTGTGACATGGCAAGTAGAAGACGGGCCCGTGAGTCCAAAGAGTTGCCGGGTGCGGTGTGGCACATTTATCATGCTAAGGACGCAGACTCGATACGTGACCTGTTGAACAAAGTGAGCGCGGAACGCGGTGAACCATTGGAACCCAACCACGACCCCATCCACGACCAATCATCATACTTGGACGCAGATCTCAGGGCGCGGTTGTTGACTGAATACGGTGTTCAGGGTTATGCGGTGGTACAGTGTCTAGGTGATGCCATATTTATCCCGGCCGGAGCCCCGCACCAGGTACAACAAGTATTATTATACAACAACAACAACAATAATAAAAACCCATCATTTAATTTATAATCAACATAATATTATTGTTGCAATTATTCAATAAACCTACCACATAATTTAAATACAATGTCTTATTTTAAACTTTATTCTACATTTCTAAGTACGTTATGCGTCTTCGACATTTGTTCGTCGACACACAATAATATATTATGTTGTATTATAAACATGATATTTATTTACACTTTTACTTGACTAATGTGATTGTGTGTCGTCCACAGGTGAGAAATCTGCACAGCTGCATCAAGGTAGCCGGTGACTTTGTATCGCCTGAAAACGTGTCTCAGTGTTTTCGGCTAATGAACGAGTTCCGAGATTTGTCCAACAGCCACAGTAACCACGAGGATAAGCTACAGATCAAGAATATCATGTTCCACGCGGTCAAGGACTCGATTTCGGTATTATTGCACGAACATTTGGAAGTACCGCAGGAACAACAAGAACCGGAACCGGAACCAGAAGAGGAGGTGGAGAAGTAAATTTGTATTGATTATTATTTCTGTCAATGGTAATTTATTATTATTTAATTTTGACCTTAATTATTTTTTCTCATTGTTATTTTATATTATATTAATTTGTAAATAATCTATAAACGACATTTAATTTTATCCCGTTATATATTACTATTTTTAATATGGTATATTATATAAATTAATAATAGTTAAAAACTAATTTTTTCATATAAATATATACACAATATATATTTATATTTTATTACAAGAAAACAAAACGTTACATAGATATTATTTTGGCTCTCACAAGAGTACTACAAAAAGGGTTTTTTCATTAAATTATATTTTTGTTTTTTTTTTTTTTTTTGTTTTTTTTTGTGATATGACACTTCTTGTGTCTAAACTTTAAGTTATTATTTTTATTTGTATTATTATTTTCTATCTTTGATTTTGTTAACATCATATTTTAGTAATGTTCATTATTAAAACGATATTATGTCATTTGGAAAAAAATACACAAAACAAACAAGTAACAGTACAATTTATACAAGATATGTCGATTTTAACAATATATTATTTTTTTTTTACGTTACTATTCATATATTATTTTTATTATTATCGTACATTATAATATTTTTCCCCAAACCATAAAAACATTGCATGCAATTATATTTTTTCCAATCTCCTATACTTATGATAATTATATAATAATTTTGTATTATGTTCGTTACTCTCAGTTTATTATCTTTTGCCATTCATTCCTTTCATCATAAACATTATACCAATATTAATAATTGGACGCATTTAATTTCGATTTTAAATTCTGTTTTCTTTATTATGTTTTTATTTGACTTGTAATACAATCGCCCTTATTAATTAGATATCTAGTATAATATCTATATCATTTTTGCATGTCGATTATTTATAATATTATAATTTTATTATTTTGGTATYTATGAAGTAAACCTATGACCTATCACATTATTTACACACAATATTTATTATAATATTATAGTGTTTGAGCAACACTGTTGACATTAGTTTGTTATCTTCCGTTTAGGTTTAAGCATTGATTATATATTATTATAAATTAATAATGTAATATAATCAATGGTTCTAGGTTTAATTTGTGTGTTATATGTTAGGTTAATATACGCTCKTGGATCGAACGCGTTTTGTTTTACCTACACGACTTTASTTCAAAAGCACAGAAATATTTTTAAATATTCAATAATAATATCTGAAAACCGTGAACGGTTATGGCTATAGTATTCCATGTCGACAGGTCGTCAAGGTAATCCGCGTACGCTTCAACGGATTTGTTTCATCCGTAATCTGACATCTCATTAACTATACATATACTATACAATTATTTAACGTMTACTCAAAACATCTCGTTTAATTTTYGACTTAAAATAAAATTACCGATTGAATCGTTTCTSCAGTTTGAATCCCAATTAATTTGATTAGGCAAACGATTTGTCCGTTATTCAATATCACCGGTGGACCATCGGTTTGATCCAATTTACGCGCAACTTAGGTCATTATAATAAAATTGTCGTGATCAAATAGACGCGAGTCGGTATRTTTGTTTTTAGCGTAACTATTAAATTTATTTTATTATTTACTGTTATTGCTTTCCACCCGTGCCCTGCGCCCGTTGAACAAAATCAATGTGTGTGTATAATTGTTATAAATAATTAATAAATTTCCTATAAATTATTGCCGATCGTTGTATTATTAATAATGAATGTTTAAAGCACAAACATCTTATATTCTCATGGTATACCTCCNTTATATATATTTATGAATTATAACATAAAATTATGACTTACTAATAATTTGAGATTAAAGTATTAAATCTTGTATAGCCAAGAAAATTTTCATCACAAAAATATAAAAATTAATACTATGTTCACGTTTTTATCAGCTTTTGAATACAATTTTTTTTTTTTAATTTTTATCGATATACTATGATATGTTAGTACTGTGATGTCTATTTTTATACAAAAAAAAAAACATAATACACTTTGTATTTTGTATATTTCCATAAATACTAAATGTAAATTTAAAAAAACACGTGCACATTTTATTTTTGGAAATTCGTAGACTTAAATTATTAAACTATTTTTTTTATTTGTATGTTCTAGCAACAAGCTCATTATAGAAATCGGACCGTTCCTATATCGAATTTTGATCATGAAAATGCATTAATAAATACTAACGATGGTGGAAACTATAATAATATGATCTCGTATGCTCCTTACATGAATACAAATCATGTGTACGCACCTCCTTCTAACTCATCAGTGATAGTCAGAAATGAGTCTTCGTACAAAAACTCATCGATGCCTGTGCCAGAAGCTTATTCGTATAATGGTACTCCTACTATTCTCACAGTTCCCGCTGTAAAATTAGGTTATAATAAGGAATCAAAACAAGCCAAACCAATGCATTACTCTAGGACATCATCATCTTCGGTCAATACTAGTCAATCAAAAGGTCACACTTCTTCTCCGGAACCACATCATCCTGGGCCTCTGTTAAATACGCATGGTCGTTATGCCTTATATCCACCTCTAACTGATAACTCTCAAAGGGATTTAGATATGCCCCCGCCCGCACATTTGAATGCAATTATATCTAGTGCCCTTCCGAAATTTGTTCCTGTTGCGGTGCCAGTCGATGATCTCCAAACAGAAGCATTAGATCTAGTTATGATATGTAATAAAGCTACACCTGAAACTGATGTTCCTTTATATTTAAATTCTAACTATAAACATACCAAACCAGATCCTCAAGATACCAGGAACACACATGACGTAAATGTTTATGTTAAATCAAAAAAACATAATTATTTAGAAATGTTGCCCAATAACGAAAATATGAGCTCCCCACTGATCACATTAAGCAATTCGACTACCACTTCGGCGATCATAACGACGGCACTCTCGTCGTCCAATTCGATAATGGTGCCGTCTACTAGTTTAGCAAGTAATTCATCAAGCAAAATAATAACTAATTTGATGGCTGTCCCAACTTCTATTCCAGCTACTATCTCATTGATTGATCCAAATACTATCCCAACTTCTATTTCATCTACTATTTTGACGAATAATTTGACAATTATTCCAACTTCCATTTCAAAAACGCCGTTTGCAACATCAACGGAGATTCCAATAGTTACTCCTGCATCAATCCCAGAAATAATTTCGACAACCGCATCATCAACTAATGTTACAACAGAAGGTTTGGTAACAACCTCTTCAAATGTTCCAGTGACCAACTCGACTTCTTATGATTCTTCTCCATCTACACCTCCCCCGGTGCTAATGCCTGCGACTTATACAGAAATGTCTAGTGGAATAAAAACTCACCATCACAAGTTAAAGAAAGCATGGTTACAACGTCATGTATGGGCTGAGGACTTGAAAGAAGCAGGCGTTAATATCGACCAAAATGCATCACATTCTTTCTCCCAAATGGATGATACTCCTCCAGTTTTACAGTGTGAAATTACCAAAAAAAGAAAAAGTTCCAAAAGTTCATTAGACGATAATATTGAGGAAACATCACCTCAAGAAATGTTGCCATGTAGTTCGCACTCAGAGCCATCGACATCATCAGGTAGTGGGACCAAAAAGTATAAAAAAAGAAAGGTTTCTAATCCCACGATACCTCCGGAAAATAAAAGCACAACAGATAATTCTAAGGCTTTAGAAATAGAAAAGAAAGTTCTGCCCATTAAGATTCCTAAAAAAAGAGGAAGAAAACCCAAAGTTGTTGTAAGTATACCTTTGAAAAAAGGAAAAAATAATGATGGTGAAGTGCGGTTTTTTCAATCGGGCCCATGTTTAAATGCTGGGCCAAAGATACATAAATGTCGGGAATGTCGTATATTCTTAAACAATAAGAAAAATGATAAAATGACTCAAGATGAAATTGATAACATATTTTGTCGGTTCTACGCGTTTCGTCGGTTGTTCACAAACAAATCTGGACAACTAATGAATGCAGGATTTCCTGATCCTTTCTTGGATATTACTGAAGTAAGTTTTTGCCTATTGTTTTTAAAATTCAAAAAATTTATCTTTTATTAAATATTTATTTTAGGAGGATGCAAATCTTTGGTTACCTAACCCGAAATGTCCACCAAGTTCATTAAATGTTGAAGTTGCAAAAAAAGTATTAATTGAGGCTGGTCGTCAATTTTGCTATTTAGTGAAAGAAGAAAATAAAGCTCTTACACTGTCACCATATTTCCAAGGTAATTAATTTACGTGATTAAAGTGAATTTAAATATTAATTTTATTTGTATTGCAGGCAAACCTATTGCATGGAAAAAAGCAGCTAACGGCGTGAGGGAAATGTGTGATGTTTGTCTTACAACTATTTTTAACTACCACTGGGCTTGCGCAAAATGTGGTTTTGGAGTTTGCATCGATTGTGTAAAGGTGTATATTTATGTAAATTTTAAATAATCGTTAAACTTAAATGTATCAGTTTTTTATAGTTATTTTATAATTTTCTTTTTAAAAATGTTTACAAAGCACACAATTAAAAAATAATTAAATTACCATACCAATGCATTTATTTAAAATGTATAAAATATTTTTTTAAGAAATTATCCAATATTATTTYAATGTTTCTTAATATGTGTCTCAAATAAATCATACTAAACTATCCTGTGCATTTCGTTGCCTGTCAGAAATACCAACCTTTATTCACAATTTGTGTTCAATTCGTAATTTAATACCCAGTGTAGTGATGTTCAAAACTTTCTGTGACAAATTTCCATAAATTTACTCCATTTTAATTTCCATTAAGTAAAAAATTTTAACACAACGTCTTTTGTCGAAAATTGCTCAAATATCACTGCTGCGCGACGGACCAATTATGTTATTTAAATACAAATCAAATGCACACTTACGTAAAAAAAAAGTAAGAATGAAATCACGAATCAATTTTAAATTAATTTTCTGGACAGCACTGATGTATATTAAAATTAGATTTTTCTGCTCAGAGGCCACCATTCTTAAAACCCATTATTTCCCCTTTAGATGTTAAATAAAATATTATATTTGCACATTTATTTTCGATTTTAAATATTTTCTACAAATAATGTTTCAGCTATAAAACTAACACAAATATATTATGATTGTTGTGCAGGCACGTCTAAACGGCTGGTCAGAGTTGCCAAACGCCGCGACCATGACTAAAAAGGACCTGCGAGAGAAGGACAAATTCACGTGGATGACTTGTAACAGCAAACATAATCACGACGTTGAGCGGCTCATGCTTACACAAATCGTAGCCAGTGACTCGATGGACGTTGTATTCTCTGATTTACACAAAATCAGTACTTTATGGAACCTTCCAATTGAATGTGGTTGTCCAGGACATCCTTTCCCTGAAGTACAGGTAAATATTTATTTCGATTTAAAATTTTGAATAACGGTGATTTTTTTGGTAATAAGTGTTTTTATTCAAATTTGAAACTATGTCTTTATTTAAACAAAATATTTTTCTTTTACCATCAAAATTTTATTTTGTAGTCTTCTTACCAAATTTAATAAATCTTAAAAAATCTTAAATATTTCAATATTTTATAAAGAACCCAAATATGTTAAATAGTGTTTCAAACATTAAGTAAACCAAAGCTCATGATCATATTAATTTAACTCGATTATTTATTTTATTATAAATAGATTCAACTTTTTATTTTATTTTTCCTGCCTGCTGTAAATATTTCATTTTTTTTTTCAATTAACTTAAATAAATGGGTTTAAATTTTCAAAACCGGGCTCAAAACTTTGAATGTATATTATATATAATTTAGCTCAAACATAAAGGTACATACTATCACTATAATATGTTATTTCTATATTTGAAGGGCGATGCCAGTACTGATGATGACGATGACGATGTACCTTTAATATCACGAGCAAGCACTTCAAATACTGATAACTTTCAAAACAGTTCTGCTGAAAATTCTGAAATTAGTTCTACTGAGAACTCAAAAAATGAATCTGCTGAAGATTCAAATAACATTCCAGTCGAGGAATCGAAAAACAACGCTGCTGAAAACTTGGAGAACATTACTGCTGAAAACTCTGAGAAAAATTCTGCCAAGAGCTCTTCGGACAGCCTTGCAGAAGGATCTAAGAGTATGAKTCTTTCCCAAAATGCTATTAACATCGAACCACAGATTGCCGGGGTAAAATAAACACATGAATATTAAATCTTCGTTAAATCATTAATTATTTGTCTTATTTTCGTTTGTATTCACAGTGCTCAAATGACAGACGAGCGAGTGTTCAATCTAATCCGAGGAGGAGAGAGCATATATTAAAACACTTTGTCCGTAAGAAAAATAAATATCTGAGAACCATTCCACGCGAACCGCTTCCGCCACGTGTAATGACACTAGCAGAAAGCCGAGAATTTTTCCCGAATAATCCCCATACGTGGCTATGTGATGGAAAACTATTGAGGCTTTTGGATCCCGAAGATCCTACCAACTACGAAATTTTTCAAGTAAATTCCTATCTAGTTACTTTTATATACAATATACCTATAAAATAACTACTTGTGTTCTGGTATACACCTATTAAGTTATGTAATTAGGATGTTTGCATCGAATACTACACTAATATTGATGATCGTATTGAGTCGTCGCCGGATTTTTAATAATTATGTGCTATGTATTATGTAAAATAATAAACATTGAATAAACTACTGTTTTGGCTATCTACACGTATTTAACTGTAATCGGTTGGTGTATTTGCAGGAACAATGGAAAAGAGGTCAGCCAGTGATGGTCAGTGACGTGGGTCAAAGGTTAAATCCGGAACTGTGGAGTCCTAATTCGTTTATTCGCGACTTCGGTGAATTTACCAACGATTTGATTGACTGTGCGACTGGTTTCCTAGTCGAGGGTAAGACAATGAAACAGTTTTGGGATGGTTTTGAGGACGAAAGCAAGCGACTTAAGGGTTTGGATGGTAAACAAATGTTGTTGAAACTAAAAGACTGGCCAGTTGGCACTGATTTTGCGGATACCTTACCGGAAAGGTAACTATTTTCTTAGCTAACGTTCAATGTATCTCCGGTTGTTTTTATTTCATGAATAGTAAAACGAATTTAATGTATTTAGCGTTTTCCGATACAGATTTGATGATTTAATGAGAGTATTGCCATTAAAAGAATATACTCTGCGTGACGGAAGTCTTAATCTGGCAGCTAGATTACCGGCATGTTTTGTGCGACCAGATCTTGGACCAAAAATGTACTCAGCTTACGGGAACATTGGAAATCGTGATTCCGGCAAACAATTTATGAGTACAACTAATCTACATTTAGACGTATCGGATGCAGTTAATGTAATGGTGTATGTGGCTATTTCGCACAAAAGTGAGAATCAAAACGACGAAGCTGATCATGAATGGCACGTAAAGGGTAAGTTATGTTATCAATAATATTTAAGTGCAAATTTAAATTTATATTTTCCATTTGATATATAATTTATTTTTGTCTTGCTGCAATAAATAATTGTTTAAATAAAATCTTTCATAATTGTGTTAAACCATTTTTATCAAATTTTTGACATTTTAGCTGGGGATCTATCTGAAATTCATAAGGCGCTTATTTATCACGCTTGATAGTCTTATCAGTTGTTCTAGTGACAGTTCATATTTTATAGTAACGATCATGATGAATATGTGAATAGTATAAGCTATAATATAATTATTTTCTTAGAAATTAAAAGTTATGTCCGTGATACAATTTCTTTTCCAAAGTGGAAAAGTTTCTTTGTCTATATTCCATTCATATTATTATAATTTGATTGTTATATTTCAGAAATTACATAATTTAAAGTGTTAAAAATATGTTTTCGTGACTTGAATACATTTTATATACTTGAGTTAATTTCCGTGTTTCATATATTTTATTTAAGTTGATTTTTCTTTTTACGTTTAAGTACTAACATAATTTTTTCTATAGACATTTTTTTTTATAAAATTATTTTAATTATAATAAATTTTAATCTATAGTCTATGGGTCGTGTGTATGATTAGTTTACGAATGTATTTTAAGTTTGATCTTACAGTACATCAATGAGTTCAGTCAATTCATAAGTCTATGTTATGGATGTTTCAGAAGCGTATCGGGCGATTGACGAGGCTGGCTGTGACATGGCAAGTAGAAGACGGGCCCGTGAGTCCAAAGAGTTGCCGGGTGCGGTGTGGCACATTTATCATGCTAAGGACGCAGACTCGATACGTGACCTGTTGAACAAAGTGAGCGCGGAACGCGGTGAACCATTGGAACCCAACCACGACCCCATCCACGACCAATCATCATACTTGGACGCAGATCTCAGGGCGCGGTTGTTGACTGAATACGGTGTTCAGGGTTATGCGGTGGTACAGTGTCTAGGTGATGCCATATTTATCCCGGCCGGAGCCCCGCACCAGGTACAACAAGTATTATTATACAACAACAACAACAATAATAAAAACCCATCATTTAATTTATAATCAACATAATATTATTGTTGCAATTATTCAATAAACCTACCACATAATTTAAATACAATGTCTTATTTTAAACTTTATTCTACATTTCTAAGTACGTTATGCGTCTTCGACATTTGTTCGTCGACACACAATAATATATTATGTTGTATTATAAACATGATATTTATTTACACTTTTACTTGACTAATGTGATTGTGTGTCGTCCACAGGTGAGAAATCTGCACAGCTGCATCAAGGTAGCCGGTGACTTTGTATCGCCTGAAAACGTGTCTCAGTGTTTTCGGCTAATGAACGAGTTCCGAGATTTGTCCAACAGCCACAGTAACCACGAGGATAAGCTACAGATCAAGAATATCATGTTCCACGCGGTCAAGGACTCGATTTCGGTATTATTGCACGAACATTTGGAAGTACCGCAGGAACAACAAGAACCGGAACCGGAACCAGAAGAGGAGGTGGAGAAGTAAATTTGTATTGATTATTATTTCTGTCAATGGTAATTTATTATTATTTAATTTTGACCTTAATTATTTTTTCTCATTGTTATTTTATATTATATTAATTTGTAAATAATCTATAAACGACATTTAATTTTATCCCGTTATATATTACTATTTTTAATATGGTATATTATATAAATTAATAATAGTTAAAAACTAATTTTTTCATATAAATATATACACAATATATATTTATATTTTATTACAAGAAAACAAAACGTTACATAGATATTATTTTGGCTCTCACAAGAGTACTACAAAAAGGGTTTTTTCATTAAATTATATTTTTGTTTTTTTTTTTTTTTTTGTTTTTTTTTGTGATATGACACTTCTTGTGTCTAAACTTTAAGTTATTATTTTTATTTGTATTATTATTTTCTATCTTTGATTTTGTTAACATCATATTTTAGTAATGTTCATTATTAAAACGATATTATGTCATTTGGAAAAAAATACACAAAACAAACAAGTAACAGTACAATTTATACAAGATATGTCGATTTTAACAATATATTATTTTTTTTTTACGTTACTATTCATATATTATTTTTATTATTATCGTACATTATAATATTTTTCCCCAAACCATAAAAACATTGCATGCAATTATATTTTTTCCAATCTCCTATACTTATGATAATTATATAATAATTTTGTATTATGTTCGTTACTCTCAGTTTATTATCTTTTGCCATTCATTCCTTTCATCATAAACATTATACCAATATTAATAATTGGACGCATTTAATTTCGATTTTAAATTCTGTTTTCTTTATTATGTTTTTATTTGACTTGTAATACAATCGCCCTTATTAATTAGATATCTAGTATAATATCTATATCATTTTTGCATGTCGATTATTTATAATATTATAATTTTATTATTTTGGTATYTATGAAGTAAACCTATGACCTATCACATTATTTACACACAATATTTATTATAATATTATAGTGTTTGAGCAACACTGTTGACATTAGTTTGTTATCTTCCGTTTAGGTTTAAGCATTGATTATATATTATTATAAATTAATAATGTAATATAATCAATGGTTCTAGGTTTAATTTGTGTGTTATATGTTAGGTTAATATACGCTCKTGGATCGAACGCGTTTTGTTTTACCTACACGACTTTASTTCAAAAGCACAGAAATATTTTTAAATATTCAATAATAATATCTGAAAACCGTGAACGGTTATGGCTATAGTATTCCATGTCGACAGGTCGTCAAGGTAATCCGCGTACGCTTCAACGGATTTGTTTCATCCGTAATCTGACATCTCATTAACTATACATATACTATACAATTATTTAACGTMTACTCAAAACATCTCGTTTAATTTTYGACTTAAAATAAAATTACCGATTGAATCGTTTCTSCAGTTTGAATCCCAATTAATTTGATTAGGCAAACGATTTGTCCGTTATTCAATATCACCGGTGGACCATCGGTTTGATCCAATTTACGCGCAACTTAGGTCATTATAATAAAATTGTCGTGATCAAATAGACGCGAGTCGGTATRTTTGTTTTTAGCGTAACTATTAAATTTATTTTATTATTTACTGTTATTGCTTTCCACCCGTGCCCTGCGCCCGTTGAACAAAATCAATGTGTGTGTATAATTGTTATAAATAATTAATAAATTTCCTATAAATTATTGCCGATCGTTGTATTATTAATAATGCATGTTTAAAGCACAAACATCTTATATTCTCATGGTATACCTCCCAATATAGGTATGCTCGCTTTTTTGTTTTTTTTTTTCGTTTTTTCCGTTCCTAAATATTACACCTTGTCTGTTCTATTATARCATAAAACGTTAAATGAAAAATTAGAAAACAATCCGAGGTTTCAAAATTAAGACATAATTTTTTTCCTCGTCGAATAAATGCTTAAAACGTGAGTCGAAGATAAAAAATTAAAGTTCAGAATGTCGGTTTCAATATTATACGGTTTACTTCTGCGCAGCTGCATGTGTTTCTTGATCGTCAGTGTTTAATAGGCACATGTAATATTATATTGCATTACAATGATCTTATGACTTGCACAACTAACGTTATATTATTTATTACGAGTATAATATCATACAATATTATAGAATGTTATCCGTGTGCGATTGCCGAGAAAATATTTGCCGTGTCAGATATCGTTTGAACGATAATAATTATAATTTTTCGTAATAAGATCGCAAAAATAAAAGGACRCAGACACTTTGAAAACTGTATTATGAAAATATCAAGGATGAATTTTAGCTGTCGCTCGTCGACCTTTCTCAATCTTTTGTTACTTACTGTGCACAACATACGTAATGATTTAATGTATAAGTGCGTGTTTACCTACTGATTTCAAGGGTTCTTACTGTTCTTAGTTATCGTTATGTACTGATTTTGTCAGTCCCTAATTTTAGGTACCTATTGTTATATTAGTTACCAGCTATCTAAAAAATTAAAAATTATTTTCCTAACAAAAAATAAAAATTGCATTGAATGTTTTCTATGATATAGGAATTCTATGTTTTTGATGTTATACTAATTGAATTTAATGTGTTGTGATTTTTTTTTTCATAATTATGGACATGATGTTTGATGAAAACCTACTTAATATGTGTTAATTTTGTGTTTTTACTACTAGTTTATTAAGATTATACTACTGAAGTTGTTCTAGGAACTTTAAACGTCACATCGTGACGCTCAATCGCGTTAATTACTGTAATTTATGTTTAATCGTAATTGATGTATTTTGGATTATATAAGTTATATATTATTATAAATGGAACGCTTTTATTATTATATGTTTATATATCATATTTATATACTTAAGCCACCTATATTATAAGTTATCGATTTCGAACGCATAATCAGCAATTATGAAAAAATATTATAGAGATACCTATACCTATATATGTGCCTATATACGATTTTTGTTTAATATAGGTAATATTCAATTCCTTCATAACGTAATGATTATATGTATCAAACTATACTTAATCATTGATAGTAAGCACTCAATTGTAAAACCTAAAGCCCGGCGGTTGAAATATCTAACCTCAGAATTTTTTTTTTTATTTTGATTAGGGGATCGTGGGTGGTACTGACTCTCGTCATTTCACCCCCGACCACAATAATTTATTTCAGGAAAAAAAACTATAACTAGGGAAATTATAATTTCAGTCTGCTAGGGAGTACATTGGTTAGGTACATTTGGCCCCTACTCCTCTTTTTTTTTGCCTTCGGCATATATATATATATATTATATACTTAACTAATACGTTTTTACATTTTCCTTCTTCCCTCTTCTAAATGTCAATGTTGATGTGTCGTTGCCTTTCGCGTACTTCCTCTTCCTTCTTCTTCAGGGTCGCCATTATGAAGTTAGTAATATTTTCCCACTTTGCCTTCGAATTCACCAAGCCCTCCTCAATATTTTCTGGGKTTAAGTCTTAACCAACCGTAATTTCTGTGTATCTTCGTTGTGAGTGAAAAGCGACACACACAACCAATGTGTGCTCAACGTCATCATTGCGATCCCCACAGAACACACGCTGGAGATGCTAATTTTCAAAATCTGTGGAGGTAGGAGGAAAAGCATCCATGCCCTATGAGCGCTTGCGTCAAATGAAAATTTACCAAGTCATTCTTTTTTTAGTACTATCTTTTGATATTTGGTATTATTGTATTAACCGGTATTATGTCCATCCTCCGTTATCAGTTTGATCCCATCTCGATTACCCTAACCTAACCTGTATCAGTCCGTCTTCCGCTCCTACTCTCTCTTCTGTTAGCCTAACATACTTAACGAACCTCATCCCAATTAAACGGCTTGAGACATAGAAAAATAATAATAATATTTTATCACATTTCCACTGTCCACTGAATCACGTGCACTTTTACAGTTTTACCTAATTTTAGATCAACATAATATCATTACCTACCTATCATGTAATTAATCTTTAGTTGAGATATCATAACAAAAACCCTATGTGACTTACGAATTTCCACCAACGTAGCGTAAAACTCAAATTTAAACAAAATTACATATCGAATGTCTAGAACTTTCGATTGCCATTGGCCCTTGGTCCCGCGAGAATATATACATAACATATATATATATAAATCGTTTTTCACGTAACTGATTTTTTCCACAGAGTAATTTAATAATAAATAATAATAGATAGGTAAGCTATTAAATATGGGTGTACGTATAATAAAATAAGCGTGTGGGGTTTCTCAACCAAAAGATTTATGTGAGAAATTATTTGTTATTACTTCTTTTAAAACTTTACCGTGTGTCACATAATTTATTTATTTTTTTTTCGTCAGCAAGCATTTTCCATACTATGATATTATTATACTAATATAGATATATATTAGTATAYCTACTCGTAATTGTTAAAGATTTGTAATTTTTTTTAAATGCATTTTATTAAACCAGTCGAATATTTAATTGCAACTATACCTAATTGGATAATCAAAATTATACCCTTCAAATTTCAAACATTCTATGATACGTTAAACAACAACTTTATACACATATCATGACATTTTATCATGTTATATTTGTGATTTCAAGTCGGTGTTTACGTATTAAGACATAACATATTACGATAACTATTTTTGTTTTCGATTAAGCAGTGTCATACAAAATACTACACAGTGGGTATTCGTATACTGACACATAATATATTGTTATATTAAAAAAAATATATTGTACGTTTTGGTGTGCTTTTCTGGTTGAYTATATATTATATACCAGCTTTATATATTAAATTATGTTGTTTGGTGTTGAAAAATCAAATAAATCTTGTTTTATTTGATAAAATGTATTTTTTAATTTTCCTTTGTTGTGTTGTATACCTTACCTATGAATTATGATATGTTAATATCTTATATTATACTATTAAGTATAAGTGGTTATATTAATCACCCCCATTTTAAACATAGTTATTTTATGCCATTTAAGTTATGTGCTTTAACAATACAAACTATACTTTTTTTCGAAAACTACCCTTTTTATTTTAAATTGATAACCACACAGTTTTTTTGAAAATGTATATCCAATTGAATCAAAATTCGATCCAGTAGTGTCTGAAGTTATTTACCGTGTGCCCACTATCAGTGTCRGCCTGGCAAGAGCCACGGGGCCGCAAACGCGTTCGTGGCCCCCGGCCGTATTTGTGTCGAGGCCTMGAGGGGTCCTTATAATATTATGAAATATATGAATATTGAATATTATTAATCATTATATATTATATGAGTACTAAAATTGGTCATATATGACATACTAGAATTAATGAAGTACTGTAAGTACTGTATAAATAAAATAATAATACCTAAGCAACAAGATAATCTGATTATCAAGTACGTTTTTTAATTGGTTTAAAATCAGTAGGTATAGGTATTATTATAATTATCGATGTGTAATTGTATTCTGTATTATACTCGAAAACCAAAAATTAATKTATTATTTTCTATATTCGTTCGTGGTAATAATAATGCTGTACAGTAGATTCTTAATATTATGTCGAACGTCRCTTTCTCGAATTTTTCGTTTTCTCGAATTACTTTGAATTCCCCTTGAAACTAATATTACACTTTATAGTGTCTTGCTCTCGATAACTCGATATAAAATTAATCGTTTTTCGTTATCTCGAGTTCACAAATAATATTTTAATTACGGTTAAAACAGGGATTGTGCAGTATATTCAGTATTAGCGATTGTGATTTAACGCGTTGGTACCTACTGGTACCTAGTCACGTTTCTAGTCTTTCGTTTTTTTTTTTTTTTGTTGTTCGTTTGTAGTGAAATGGAAAAGAAGCGTAAATTAAATGTTCTTTCAATTGCGGACAAAGTTCTTCGGACAGTTAGTTGAAAAAGGTGATCGTAAAAAAATGTGGAATCGCTAATGAGTTCAATATACCACCAAATAAATTATCGTCAATTTATTATTAAACAGAAAGAGAAAATAATGAAGTTCAACTTAGGAAATATGAAAAAAAATGAGGATGACTCCTTATTTGGACATTGATAAATGTTTGCTAAAATGGTTTACTCAATGTCGAGATAAAGACATACCATTTAATATGAATGTGTCTAATGTCTAAATTAAGAATATTAATTACTGAATTATATAATTACATGTAGGTACACATCTTTTTTGTATGTATGATAAAATGTTGGGTGGGTAGACTTTTTAAATTGTTGGAAGATAATTTGAAACTTCGTGGTCTATTACTTGAAGATATTGTGGCATGTTCTTTTGATGGATCACCTAACACGAAGGGAATATATCATGGCTTACAAGTATATTTAAAAAAAGTCAATCCAGATATTGTATATACTCACTGTAGGTATAGGCCATGTTTTAAATTTGGTAATGAGCGAGTCTACAAATAATTTACAGTAGGTAGAAGATTTATTTGGGTTAATTGAACAATCAGCAGTGTTTTTAACCGATTCTCATAAACGAATGACAACATTGATGAGTGTTACAGGAGAAAAACATTCTGCACATGGAAAACTCTATCGTTTACAAAAGATTGGTACCACTAGGTGGTGGAGCAAAGAAAAAGCTCCGTTTTCTATCATGGATTTACAAATAATTGAAGATAACAATGAAGTTGAAAATAGTAAGTTTGTTACTTTATTAGAATTTTTAGTTGCAGTCTGCAAAGGTAACTTTAATGTTCAGAATAATTGCATTGCAAAATCTTTAATAAATAATTGGTCAAAATTCGAAACAATATTAATTACTAATTTTTTGCTTGATATTTATGCAGTAACAAGTCCTGTATCAGTTTATTTGCAAACTAAATCTRTTAACTATTTACAAGCTTGGAATATGATTGAAACTTTACAAAAGAAAATTGAAAAAAAAGAATGAAGATAACATTAACTCTTTGTATAAAAAATGCAAATCCATGGCTGAAAAATTAATTTATTTTTTGATGAAAAAGACCTGATAGATATTCAAGAAGATTTTCCTATTAAGAGGACACTATACTCGCATGCGTTGTCTCCGTCTTACAAATACGTAAAATGGCAAAACTATTTCACGCGGGAAAGAACCTAGAAAGCTATTAGTTACAACTAAGAAACGAAATTTTCACCACATAAAAATGAGAATTTTGTCTGTGCAATATCATTTTTATTTTTCGGTATCAGAACTACAAAAAAAGTTATTCATGCTTAAAAAACACAAAATTAATGTATTATGAAACAATAAGAATTTTTTTTTGTATAAGTGATTCTATATTTCTATTTACTTAAATAGTGAAACTAGCAGTTACTTTTACAGAAACGCAGTTTTGCCAACATTGCGGCCGGTGGCCCTWGACGRCCACGCTAGCCTGGTTAACCATATCGGTTACCAGACGGCGGGAAATTAAAATTGTCAGAGGGATCGAACAGAAACTGTATGGTCCACGGATAGYTTGGTAAATTTCAAAACGGACTCCCATATAAATTAGTTAGAGGCCCCTGCTGGTCTAGCCTGCTATGGTAGAGAATTTTTATTCGATAAATAATTCATTTTGAAACATATTCATATACTTTTTTTTAACTAAAAAAATTAACTAGATAAAATTGAATGAACGTGTAATGTGGAAATAATGAGGCCTTTTAGAGTAGCTATTTATGAAACCGTTAAAAACAAACCACACATTTTGAGCGGAGTGAAAGAAAGTATTGATCTTACAATGGATATTATGTTTTTTTCCTATCTGTTATCACCTTTTAGGGAAGTAAATATGATTCAGTTTTCAACAGCGGAATTTTTTCTGGTAAGACTTGTATTTTTGAGGGTCAAAACTTAAAAGTGAGAAAACTCTCATTAGTATAATACTAATAGTATTCAAATACTTCAGGAAATACAAAAAATAATAAAAGAAAGGAAAATTAAGAATTTTTACGCGAAACCATTTTTCGACAAAATCAACTTTGTTTTTTTAATACAACTCGAAAACGAATTATAACCAATTTTGTTATTAACTTGTTTACATAATAAAAATTAATTGGAAATAATAATTTAACACTACAATTAGGTACAGTATAACACTGCATTTATCATCTTTATCTTTAAGGATAGTTTTCAAGCTCAGTTAACAATTAGGTAGGTACCTAACTACCTACAAATGTATATTTATAATAATATCAAAATATAATTTATTTTAAGAATTTTCATTTTTCGTCCACGGGAAATGGACCATAGAAGAATAATTTATGGCTATTTGTATATTCCATAGGACGTAGGTAATATTGAAAAAAWTTATTTTCAAAAATGATTAAGTGTCCTTCGCTTAACGGATATAGGTTAGGTTAAATACACATAAGGTAAATACACGAAGTTCAACGTAAGAATTCATATAAATGGAAATGGTGACTATTTTAACGGCAGATGCTCCGAAGTGAAACCATGAACCTTGAAGCGAATTAACTAAAAAAGTAAAATATATTATTTACCTCCATAAAATATTCCATAATTTATTTATTTATTTTTTTAATTAATTTTTTATGGAGTAACATGTGATATTCTTATCAATCGCATATCCTCTTGCCGGACTKATGTTCCTAGGCGGYAGGCACAGATATAGATAATAATTTATTATCTATATCTGTGGCGGCAGGCAACGAATGGATCTTCGCAGGAAAAAAATGTTTGTGTCCGTATATAATATTGCCTACATTTCGCCCCTTTTGTGCAGCTATCAAAATGTGATAACATAATTTTCATTATAAATTATATTATATTTTATTATAATTAGATTTAATGGTTTTATATATTGCTAAATTGAAATTCAAATAGTTAAATAAATTTAATATAATACACAATTTGAATAAAAACACGA